CTTTAAATTGTCTTGATGTAAATACTTACTTTACCTACTCCAAAGCCGTAAGCCAACACCCACCTCGGGCCCCACCATGGTTTGGTCTGAGGTGCGAAAAATTTGAGGAAAGCACTCTCTAGATGGCCAGAAATGACACTCTTAGTGAAATTCTTCACTTCACATCACCATTGTAGTCAAAATGAAGAAACAACAAATTTCTCATCATCTTTTATCGGCGATTTTCGGCAATCAGAGATCTAAATCATCTATGTGATGTACCATATTTGGGGCGGATGCAGGATTTGGCATTAGGGTGTGCGTGAGAGTCCACCATCACCTCAGCCCCAACCATCGTTGGACTGAAGTGGGAACTTTTTGAGAATATGGAGCTCTGGGTGCCCGGAAATTGCATTCTCATACTTTTAAAATCCTACCTGTACTATGTTCATAATAATAAAAATAATATAGGCCTATCAACAATACAATACAATTATTTTTCTTAATACAATTTAGGAGGTGCGATCGCATCGTTTGCACCCCATGAATCCGCCCAGCATAGAAAATAAAAGTTAAACCATTGACGAGTTACACCCATATCAGCCCCACCATGGCCATGGGGCTGAGGTGCGAAAATGTGGGGAAATAGTACCTCTAGATGGCCAGAAACGACCTTCTTATGTAGAAAAATTCGTCATCAAATCACCATTATAGTCACAGTGTGTGATGTACCAAGAAAATAAAACCTAAAAGCGTTGTCTTTGATGTATTTACTTTACTTTACCAACTTCAAAGCCGCGAGTCCAAAACCCACCACAGTCCCTCCGTAGTTGTGGCTGAGGTGCGAAAATTTTGAGGAAATACTGTAGTACCTCAAGCTAGCCGGAAATGACACTCTTATAAATAATCATCATTATAACATCACCATGATCTTTTATCAGCGATTTTCGGCTATCATAGAGATATTATTATTAATTTCTTTTATACCATAGAAAATAAAACTTCAAGGGCGGATCCAGAAATGTCCAAAAGGGGGGGCCGGAAGGGGGCCGAAAGTTGGGTCGATTGAGACAACAGTGTCGTAGGGGGGTCCGGGGCATGCCCCCGCGATTTTTTTGTGTTCTAGACGCCCGAACATAACATTTGAGGCATTCTGGGCTATCATCTTTTTCTTTTTCTCTCTTTTTTTTTCATTTTTTCCCCCTTTTTTTTCCCTCTTTTTTTTCCCCCCCGAGGGGGGGGGGGGGGGGGGGGCCGGGCCGGCCCCCCCTAAATCCGAATTGTCTTTGATGTAGGCCCCCTATTTACTTTAACTTACCTAATTCGTGTGCCGAAAATCTTACATTTTTTCATACTTCTCAAATTACAACAAAAAGCACGCGCATTCGAGTCGTGTGTTATTGGTAATTCAGATATAGATTTTGATTGTAGGCTTTCTGGCATGGAGAGTGCCGGGGGTATCCTCACTGGTAGGCCATATGGTGGGGTAGCATTTTTTTTTTATAGAAAGTCTTTATGTAATTTTATTAGACCTCTCGACCTTGAGGACAAAAGGCTTGTGGGTATTCAAATAGGCAATGGTGATAAATGTACATTTTTGATCAATGTCTATTTACCTTATGAAAATGATGTTAACTATATTGAGTTTATTGACTATCTTGGTAAAATAAAGTCTTTAATTGATGAGTTCCATGGACATGGAGATGCAATTGTAGGCAGTGATCTTAATTCTCACGTGAACAAAAAGTTTGGTAAAGTTATTGAATTTCACAACTGAACGTAGCTTTCACATTTCTGATGTCGAATATCTTAGTGATTCTAATTCTGAAACTCTGCTGAAAATTTAACTTCCTACAGTGATGCACATGAAACCAGTTGGTTAGATCATGTCATTTGGTCTTATGGTGCACAGGTTTACTTAAGCAATTTTAATATTAATACTTTTCTGTGTTCTAATCACTTTCTTTTGTCATTTACCTATAAGTTCACTTATTATAGAGGGCGTAATCAAAATGATTGTAAAAAAAAGGTGTTAATTTCTCAGTTAACTGGGATAAAGTTAACAAAACATCGGTAAATAATTATTATTGTTAGTGGCGGTTTTCATCGCTGTTGGTTTTATACTGAATAAATAAAATACATCTGCTACCGATATATTGCTATATAATAATTTTATCTGCCAATCCATGGCGTCTTGCAGGGATGCAAATTGTAACAACTCAAACCATTTAGCTGAAATTGATTAGGCCTACTTGTATCAGGATACCGGTACTGTATGAGCTGCTTAAATAATGTGTCTGAACAACTTTTAATAATGTTCCTGAATGGAACGAACATGCAGCATTTATTAATGGTGTCACGGGCAATAAAAATATATGTGATGTCTGGGCAGATCACACAAACAAATTTTTGTGTGTGAAAAAGATAAATTGCAACAAATTGATGATTATTCTCAAATTGTTCAAGATCAAATCTCCAAGCTGTCTTTAGGTAAATCACCTGGTTTAGATGGCGTCGCATGGTGAGCATTCAAAACATACAAGTAAAAAATTGAGTTTATACCTCCATGGTTTTATTAAGTATTTGCTTAAATGCAATGCTTGTTCATGGGCACATTGTCGACGAATGTGTCAAAGTCGCCCTCATTCCGATTATAATAAATAAGTCTGGTGACATTACATCCACTAATAATTATCGTCCGATTGCTCTGGTACCTGTGATGTCAAATTTGTTTAAACTTATTCTTGACTTGACTTTTGCAAAGAAAAACCCTGAAAACTGATTGTCATCAGTTTGCGTTTAAACCTAATCACTTCACAGAGACATGCATTTTTTTTTCTTAAACAGACCATTGAATATTACCAACGGAATAGAAGTCCAGTTTATTGTTACATACATGCTTTTTAGATTCGAGTAAAACTTTCGACCGAGTTCCATTGGACATTGTATGATAAATTAATTAAGAGAAATATTCCACTAGTTATTGTTAAGATCTTACGTGAACAGGGATTTTCCAGCAAGGTCCGTCAGGAAAAAATGAAATCTCAACCGCCAAAAGTATTAGGCAGTCCTATTCCTATACTTAATTGTCAAATTATGGGAATTAAAAACTACCATAATCAACATATTTTTTTCCCTGACGGGGGGGGGGGGGGGGGGGGGTGCTATGGTGTAGGCCTCTTGTCGGGGAGCTTGGACCCCTCGTCGGGGAATTAATGGCGCCGCCCCTGTACATGAATTGTATAGTAAACAAAGATTTCCTGGTCGATGGAGATTTAGTATTTCCGGAAAGTTCAGCTTTTCCATTGAGTTAGGCAGGGTGGAGTGTTGTCTCCGGTTTTATTTAGCATTTATATGAATGGCCCAGGGGCGGATTTGGGTTCACATTTTTTCACAAAAACCCCCAAAAAAAGGTGGTCAATGCGTTCTTGACCGGGAAAAATTTGATTCCTAGATGGCGGGAAATGAGCTTTCCCGACTTCTGGAGTGTCTTTTAATGACTTTTAAGTTCTTCAGCATTCGAAGTTTTCCCCTCTTGAAGACGGTCAGGTAAACTCTCTTATTTTTATTACAGTAAATAGGCATATTTATGTATGTATACGTACATAAAATAATTGAGTAGTTGCATATGAATTCTTTTTTTTTCTATGAATCGATAAACCCCAAAGAGAAAGCGGGTTCGGGGGGGGGGCTCCCTTGGGAAAATGTTGATCCCTAGATGGCGGAAAATGAACTTTCTCGACTTATGGAAGTCTTTTTAAGACTTCTGGTTGGCCTATTATGTGTGTATATACAGTATATAAAAAAAATAGTCGTTGCATAGGCATTTTTTTGCCATGAATAGATGAACCCATATTGAATCCCAACACGATGGGATTTTTTTTTATTTCTATATGGAGAGAAACGAATCTTCCCGACTTTTGTGTTTTTAATGACTTAAGTTCTTTAAATTTCAAGGTTCCCCTTTTGTAAACGGTCAGGTAATTAATTTTCTCAGTCTTATTACAGTAAATACGCCTATTATGTATGTACCGGTATACACAGCAATTTATAATAGCATATGAGAAATGAGCTTTCCTGACTTTTACTGTTCCCATTGTAACACACAAAAAAAAAAATAAATAAAAAAATAAAAAATAAAAATTAGCTCACGGGACCGGAAAAAGTAGGTCTAGAATTTTTGTTTGTTTTTTTTGTTTGTTTTTGTTTTTGATTTTTGTTTTTGTTTTTAAATCTGTAATCGCATAAAAGTGACACGTCGTCTTCAGAGTTGACTATCACTATCGCATAGCGGAGATATAACAAACCATGTTCTATATGTACGGTATTTCCAATTAGCGTAAACAATTAACGCTTAGGCCTATGGTTTACAATTATAGTATTATATGTATAACGTGTTCTGATGCATATTTACATATTTTAGAAGTAATTTATTTTGAGTGACCCCAGGAAAGAATTTGTATTGCCCAGCAAAATCCATGTGAAATCTTAAGTGAGATCGGACGGTAGATTTCTGTCTCTTATACACATCTAGATGTGTATAAGAGACAGGTTCAAGATCAAATCACCTCCAATATTCGACAAGGGGGGTGGTCCATTGTATCATCCCCCAATATTTTGACTATGTATGGGATAAAATGGATCTTTACACACTTCAAAAGACTGTCACATAATTTGCCATGTCTTATGCGCTTACAATAATATATTAATGTTGAAGAAAATTATTTTATCTGGTACCAATCTAATCTCTTCTTTCTTTAGATGTTAGATGTGCTTGCAAAGCAAGCCACATTTTCACACTGAAGGGTGTGTACGACATCAGTAATTTTATGTCAATTCCAAGAATTTTTAATCATCCCCCCAATGAAAAATACTTTTCTACGCCACTGGTTGACTACAAAATTAATTGGTTAAATCACAGGAAAAAACAAGTACAGTATCTTTATGTGTTATAAATTGTGTATTTCGTTTGTTTTTGTTTTTGTTTTTTTTATTTTACAGTTAACGTAATTTGATTATTTTAATGTTTTCATTTAGTAGGTATGCGTATTTTACTGATGATCATGTTTCAAAGAAATACAATTTCTTGTAAAGTGGTTATCGTCTTTTTTAATGGTAAGTTTATTCTTACCAAGTCTACTCAGCCTATTGCTGTAGAGTCTACTGGACGTCATAAAAATGAAAAGAAGTTGCCAAGCTCTGTATAAACTAACAATGAATAACCGTCCCGCCGTCTACAACAATTTCCTCTTTATGACATACGCAAGTCATCTTTTTCATTCTCATGACGGGTAGAGCATGGTCAGAATAATTAAGGACTTTCAATTGTAAAAGTCTTTAAAGTAATTTCACCGAAACGTTCAGTCAACTTAAATCTTTGTATATTTTTCCCCTCAGAAACCATAATTTAACACATGTTATAAATAACTAAAATACTTTTACTCGCCTTAAAAAAAAATAAATTGTCAATATAGATAGGCCTTCACTTCATGTTTACTATTAAGTAGTTTAATGATTGGTAACGTTATGAGAATATTAGTTGTTGTAAATCATTGACCGTTAAATTTAAGAAATTTGTTACAGTTCTTATGTGCACATGCTTTGCTGTGATTGTAACTGTTGATGACATTGTAAGTGTAGCTGAAGGCAATGAAACCAGAATAATGTGCAACATGACGCGAAGTAGTTCAAGTAGTGTAGCTGTTCCTATCGTAACCTGGTATAATGTCACCAATGGAGTAACTGATCAAATAGCACAATCTCAAGGTGGAGTTGGATCTGTACGGTCTTCATACATCGACAGATTCAGTGTTGAAGGAGACACAACACTAGTGATTGCTAACACCAGTCGTAGCGACAGCGGCACGTATCAATGTATTGTAAATATATTTGATGACCCCCTTCACCTGCATCTGATGACGCCATACTGAGTGTTATATGTAAGTGATCCTACTATATTTGTTACCTTAAGGGACTTAAACTTAGGTCTCTATTTAAAATAAATATACATTGTATATATAATAATTTCAATGGCAAGTTTATCTACAAAAATTGCAATTGTTTTTTATTACTTCTAATTTTATTCTTTTGCTAATACAACAAACATGCTTTTAATTAGTATTAGGAGACCGTTTTACCAAACAGTGGCTTTACAATGGTAATGATTGAATTTAATTTTTGATCTAGAAAACGTAAATTTCATTAATTTTATGGAACTTTTTTCTTTATCACCGTATATATTTCACTACCAGTACTTAATATTAGATTTATACAAGCCTGTATTAAGTTCCTTTGATACACATGTGAGTGAAGGCGATACGGTTGAGATGTCATGTTCTGCAGATGCTAACCCGTTACCTACGTACACATTTTTAAGGGATGGTGAGGTACAGCAATCAGGGGGTTCATCTACATTCACAGTTCAATCAGTGAGTCGTGTCAATGACGGCAGTTATGTGTGCAGGGCCAGTAACAGTGCTGGCACCAAAACAAGTGAAAGTAGAACGCTGGATGTAGGCCTACAATGTAAGTATTTTAAGTCATCACGATTATTTTCTCTGCTGGTGCTACTGCTACTGCTACCGCTGCTGTTGCTGCTGATACTGCTGCTGCTGCTACTACTACTATTACTACCACTATACTAATTTATCTTTACCTATTTTAATTTATAGTAAAACCATATAATCAACTGATCTGAATGGAAATTTCGTGAAATTTTAATCAAGTTTTCAAGTCAGAAATGTTGATGTCGGGTGTGCATGTGAAGACCATTAGGTCCCAGACCTAAATATCTCTAGATTGGGTCAATGGTTCAAAATGACGCTTCCCAGAATAGTATGTAATGAATAAACGTGTTTGAATTTTGTTCACGATCCGACGTATGGTGTGGATATGAGGACCATTTAAACATAAGTTTACCGTACCACAATCACAATCATTATCATCATGATCATCATCATGATCATCATCGCCATCATCATCATCATCATCGTCATCAAAACCAGTTCACTTTTTATATTTATACGGTAATCCGACGCTATAAAATAATAATAATTTAGGTGGAGTAAACTTCTATAGATCCGGGAGCACCTAAAGGGACATGGTTAGAAAAAAAAAATATATTAAATTATTTAAAGGGAGCGAAATGTTATTTTACGAAACAAGACAAAAGTAATTTTAATCACTGTCAAGTGACATCCCACAAAGTAAACAATTTATCATAC